TGATATGCATTTAGTCCTCAGGAAACAAATCTTTTGATTAAAATAATCTTTTGATGGTAGATGGCAGTTTTATAAAACCTATTTTAATACATAAAAATCTGATGTCTACACCATATGAGTTCCTTGTACGGAATATTAAATTATATACATTTTTTCCTGCATTTCATTTAAACTTATTTCTTCGAATTTCATTAGAAGTATATTTCTTATTCAATTAATTCAGTTCTCGCTTCGCGGCAGGGAAAAATGTATAAAAGCTCAAAATAACTTCATTAAAATTTGAAAGATATATCGAAAAATATAAAAGAGCAAATATAATTAAAATAATTTAAAAAAAACAATTTTACAATTAAAGTTACAGTTTCTACGGGAAAACAAGCAATTCTTCGGCCGGCAGGCAAGAATACAGACTTTTCAGTGCACGAAACTAAGAGTTTCCTTATTGTCTCACCGGGCAAAAAAACACTGAAGGTGCAGAAAGACTTAATTTACTATTCTGGTAAGTTTCAAATGTAAATGCTAAGAAAAAGCTTAGGCGTACACAAACAACTTTTAAATTGTTCATGATTCTACAGCTGTATTGAATGCATATTAATTAAAGGCATAAGAACTTTAACCGAAAAATACGAATAATATAATTTAGTCATTTTTAAAGCAAAATATGCACAATTTACCAACCTATAGGAATAAAAAAAACTGAGCTCGCTGAGCCGAGTAACAAAATATGTATAGATAATATATATGTTACGGTGAAACACCGAAATCTGGAGAATGTCAACTTTCACCGGTGAATGTCAACATTCACATAGTCGCTTGGTGTATGTCCGAAATATTTTCCAAATACTCTTATTTCTGATTTACACCGGTGGATGTTGACATTCACCATGTTCTCATGCTTGATCACCATGTTCTAATGGTGAATGTTGAACATATAAGAATATTATATTTTCTTCTCCGAAATTCAGTTGCGAAAAAACGCACTTGAGACTTAAAATAAGAATTTAAGAACATAAGAACTTAAAACACACAGTACATTCAAAATGAAAAAGGAAAATAACAGAAGTTAAAAACTTACTTAATTATACAGTGCATTTTAAATGAAAAAATAAAATAATAGTCATAAAAAACTTACTAAATTATGTGAATCAAATCTTATTTATTGCAACAACTTAAACAATTATGACACTTTATGACCTCTCTTTTCGACCTACACCAGAGCATATCTGCGATTGTCGACATACACCGGTGAGGGTCCGAATGTAAAAGAATGTAATGCAATATTCGATCTTTCACCGACGTATTTGGTGAATGTTGACATTCTCCGGTGAAAGTGGACATTCTCCAATTTCGGTCTTTCACGGTAACATATATATATATATTTAAATACTGTTGTTGAAGCCGATTGCAACCAAAATAGAAGATGCACACCTACATTGTAACTTAGTTAGTAGAAGTTATAGAAGTCAATATATACAAAAATGTGTTATGAATGAAGAATGGTATAGAAGTCATATATACAAAATTTTAAAGTTTCTAGACTATTCGTTTTTGGGTTATGCGAGGTGCATTCATGCGTATGTACATACGTACAGACTTCACGAAAAAACTTTCTTCTGAATCCATTTTAAATCAGTTTTATAATTCTCTTGGTGAAAAAAAAAAGAGTCCTTTACGCTGTTCTTATGTACAGATGTCGCGCAAAAACATCGTGAATTTGCATTCGATAGTGGTCAAAATGGATATTTTGTTTGAAATATGATACCCAGAATTTTTCTCAATACCAATACTTCCTTTACTTCGTACAAGGGAGTAAATTGATATAGTAAATAGAAATAATTCATTTCATTAAATATTTACTTGCTTTATACTGATAGATTATCTTGCTTTGTACTGATAGTTTAACTTGCTTTATACTGATAGTTTATCTTACTTTATACTGATAGTTTATCTTGCTTTATACTGATACTTTATCTTGCTTTATACTGATAGTTTATCTTGCTTTATACTGATATTTTATCTTGCTTTATACTGATAGTTTATCTTGCTTTATACTGATAGTTTATCTTACTTTATACTGATAGTTTATCTTGCTTTATACTGATAGATTATCTTGCTTTATACTGAGTAGTTTATCTTGCTTTATACTGATAGTTTATCTTGCTTTATACTGATAGTTTATCTTGCTTTATACTGATAGTTTATCTTGCTTTATACTAATAGTTCCTGACGAGCTTGAATACCATCTGTGTTACAAAAACAAAGCAAAATGTTTACTTAGTTTCCTCAATTTTACTTCTTTCTAGGAAGTAAAGGAAGTATTGTAATTGAGAGAAATCTTCGAGTACACTCTCGAATCTATTTGAAGGATGTTTTTGCGTGAAATCTGTACCTACGGACTTTCCCAAAACAGATTGTAAACTGGATGTATAATGGATTTAGAAGAGAAATGTTTTTGCGTCGTCTGAATGTGGGTTCATGTAAGCATTTCAGATGACCCAAAAACGAGAATTCTCAGAACATTAAAATTGTGTATATCGTATTGCTATGAAATGTAATTGTTCATCTCCCTGTGCAGGGGCATTAGGTTATTTCGAAGAAAGAGAAGGGAAAAATGAGCAAGGGCCTCGCCGAGACTCGAACCACGGACCTATCGAATAAGCACCGAGTGTGCTGATCATTAAGCCACGAAGGCATGCTACGATAGAGAAAGAAATACCTTATATACTTCCCTTTTAAAGGGCGAATGGGAATTAGGGGACCCAATCGCTAAATCCTGGCGGTGGAGAATCATTGTCCACCACATTTTTAGTTCGGGCGCCACTGTAGAGTCATTAGGTATTTTTTTTAAAACAAGACATGTGAAAAGTGAGCAAGAACCTCGCCTGGACTCGAACCACGGACCTCTAGATCACGCGCCGAGCGTGTTGACACCGAAAGCATGATAAAAATGCGTTAGAAATACCTTACACATTTTTTGGTTGCAATCGGCCGTTCCAAAAGTATATATGCATCCACTCTACTACCCGTCCCCGTAAGCTCAGCTCAGTATTTTTTTATTCTTATATGTTTGTAAATTGTGCATTTTTTTTATTTAAATAATTTAATTACGTTCTTCTTATGATCCGATTATAGTTTTTATATCTTTAGATCATCTGCAAGCAATCTTTGAAGAAATATCAGCAAATTAATGTTTTGAAGAGCTATAAAAGCTAACGAACCCGCCATTTGTTAGTGAAGTAAGTCATTTTCTGCAGCAGTTTCAGTGTTTTTACCGAATGGGATCAAAAATAAAGTTTCACTGAAAATATGAGCTTTCACTGAGTTTGCGCACTGAAATATGTCTTCCTGCCTATTGCCCAAATTGCTCATTTTTGCGTAGAAATTCTAAATTTACTTGTAATAATTATGTTCTTAACTGTTTTTAACTGTATTTGCTGTTTTATGTTTTTCTGTATTTTGCTATTTTTGATGTTTTGAGTTTTTACGAATTTTTACTTTGCCGCGAATGGAGACCTGAAGTAATCGAATGAGAAGTATATCTCTAATTAAATTCGAGAGAATGAATTTAAGAAAAACGCAGCAAAATATGTGTATAATTTAATAGATCATATAAGTAAGTCATTAGTGTACACATCAGATTTTTTATTTAGTTTATGTCTTCATGTTTAAAAACTTTTGGTTAAAGGAGATCTTAGGGTAATACTTCAGAAACTGCTAACAGTGCAGTCGTGCTTCAATCTGATACATATCTTATGGGAAAAGCAGCTAAATTGTCATTCAAAGGTTTCCTGTTTACACGTTGCATATTCTTGCTTGGCGTACTGTCAAGAATTGAAGTTGAAATGCTTATTTTAATGTAATAGACTATAGTTACATTGGGTGCACTTTATAAAGTTTTCGTGAAACGAAGACCCACAAATTATGCTTTTCTGGAGCTGTGAACTGTATCCGTGTTAAATATTGTGAAGTACTTTGAACGGAAGAGAAGTTATGCCTAAAAAAGATACAAATAATATTTTATTTTTTTATATTCAATAAAAGAAGAAAGATTAATTTCAGAGTGATTCTGCCTTTTAGAGTGATTCTTCCTTTTCTTTTTTTTTTTTATTTTTTTTTATTCTTCCTTTTACTATCTACACGTGGAGGTAATTTTACCAATTACTTAAATTGACGAACTTTTTACCTATCATTTAGCAATATTATATTTGTAGAGATATAACGATTTTTGAAGCAACTGACAGGCAAAATGTGCAGTGCCCTCACGAGTACTCGAACCTTTACCTCTAAAATAATGAGTGAAACCGTTACACCACGAAGATATGCAGAAAGGAGGGAGAAAATACCTCATATACTCCCTCTTTTAAAGGCGACTGGGGATTAGGGGACCCAATCGCCAAATCCTGGTGGTGAATAATCATCATCCGTCACCTTTTAGCTCAATCGCTACTGCAGTGACATTAAAAATTTTTGAAGCAATTGACGGAGAATATGTGCAATGTCCTCGCCGGGACTCGAACCTGGACCTCTAGAATGCGCGCCAAGTGTGCTACCGTTACACCGTGAAGGCGTGCAGAAAGGAGAGAGAAAATACCTCATACATTTGGAAATACTGTCACATCACAAGGAAGGATTCGATGGCCTATGACATCTGCGATACTCCAAAACTGAGAACCATAAATATGAGTACATCTGCCAGTAGATTTTACAAAATGAAGTTAAATAATATTTTCGAGGAATCATGTAGCATGCTTATTTACTGCCTATCTGTTAAAATGAAGGGCCTTACATATTAACCTAGATTTAATTCTTATTATAACTCTTTGTAACAGGATGTTATAGAATCATAAATGCTGTAAATTCTCTTCCATAATTATTCTGTTGTTTGATGTTACAATTCACTATGACAAATATTTCGTCTTGAAATTTAATCAACAGTGTTCTTAATTAAATGGCTGTTACTTTCCTTAGCAATGTCAAGCAAACTTCGCTTTCTTTTTCAGGTGAATGTCGACTGGGAGTTAAGTGACACATTGTGTGATTTCTACATTGCAGTGGACGTAACATGCAGTACAGCTTCCATTTTTAATTTAGTTGCCATAAGCATTGATAGGTAAGTACATTCTTTGAGTTTTAATTATAAAGAGACTTCGTCTCTCATTCTTATAGTGAAAATCATTCATGATTACGGGCGTAAAACTCAGGAGTCCCGCTCACACCTGCAAGACAGAGTCTAAGCCTTAGTCAGTCAAAGAAGTTAAATTTGCGCATGCGTGGGTATGTCTACAGCTCTCCCTCTCTCATTTCTCGCTCAGTACGTTTTACGCATTCGCTCTGATTGGTCGACTCTTATACCAAGTCGGTATAAAGTGGGTAACTTTATGCCCCTAAAACCAGGTTTTGTGACGTAGCAAGGCCTGGTTACCTAGCAACGAAGCTGGGTATAAACCTGTTATGACATTTATGCCACCGTCAGAACAGAGCCCGAGCATTCTTTGACATGTTAGACAATACGCAATAGAATATCTTGGAATAGAGCCATGAAACTGTGGGAAGCTATGCTGTGAATTAAGTTAAACATGGCCTAGTTACCGTATGACGGAATATGTTTAGTTTGCTAGTTATTGGAAGCTGAATATCAATGACTTGGAATCTTGTTGTCTCACCTGAAAAAGAAATTCCAGGTTTGGAGGAATGTATGTAGCACTTCACGTTTCAAGAGCTTTAATATGAAATTCAGTAAACTCCAAAAATCCGCAATTCAATAGTTCAGTAGACTTGGCATGTATACCATTAATACCCACCGGTAAGACGATTCTTCATAGCGTTTCATTCGGCAATAGTCAGTGGGACTCGCAAGTTACCTCGTCTCTTTTTGACATTTTTGGCCCAAAATATATATTTGAGGATATAATTTTGGGCATGTATACCATTGATACCCACCGGTAAGACGATTCTTCATAGTGTTTCATTCGGCAATAGTCAGTAAGACTCGCAAGTTGCGTAGTCTCTTTTTGACATTTTTGAACATATATGCCATTGATAATGGTATATATGCCCAAAATATATATTTGGGCATGTATACCTTTGATACCCACCGGTAAGACGATTCTTCATAGTGTTTCATTCGGCAATAGTCAATAAGACTCGTTAAGTTGCCTCGTCTCTTTTTGATATTTTGGGCAGTTTTTGTCACAAAATTCATAGATTTATATAAGTGGCTTCCGTTATCTTTATTTACTTAAAATACTTTCAGAATTTAATAAAATTCTTGATCAGTGAATAATACGGAAAGTGTCAAGCTAAAAGCTAGATATTTTTAATAAACTAAATCACAAAAGAAATATGCAATATAGAAATCTGATGAAGTTCACTTAGTATTTGTGATAAAAAAGCATAAAGGAAACTACACTTTTGATATTTGTGCGAGCTAGTTCTAAATGTATCGACACTCCTCAAACAATATGAAATACGTTCGATTGCTACGTCTATAAATTGAAAATTCATTTCGAGTTGAAGGTGAAATTTTGGCGCTGCTCTCGCTTGGAGGCGTCGAAAGAACTGTATCAACTACGTATTAACAACTGTATCACAAAAGGATTGACGAAAATTGTGATCAAATACCATGGAGCAAGACTCTATCCTGAGAAAACGAAAATAACGATTATCAAATTATCATATTGTAAGATCTGACGTTCTTAGCTATCATGCAGTTAACGTGATCTTACGAGGGAACCTGGTAACTTCTGGCACAGATGTAAAAGAATACCAACACAGAAGAAGGGTAAAATAACCCTTTATTATTCGTCAAACACTGAACACAAATGCACACGCTTCATGTTTATAACACCAACGACTTGCGGTGGAACCTAAAAATAATTTTACAATCAATTCAAAGATAAAGAGTATTGCTGGACTGACAATTTACTTTAAAGCTAACTAGGCTGACTTAACAACCTATCCCGTGATTTAAATGGACAAAAGACGTATCAGCAGCTAAGCCTAACTGCAAGGACAAACGAGTAGTAACGTGCGCTGGCTAGCGAAATCATGCTCTGAATATGCTACAAGTTTCGTCCATTTAAATACTCACTTCGCTTAACTTTAATTTTTCCTCCTGGCGAGGCAATGCGTTGTGAAAACGAGAGGTTCAGAAAAGGTAGTAATCTTAAATAATTTGTTATGCAAAATATGGGAAACTTTACATCTTTCCTCTCCAGAATTCGCATAACAAGGCTTTAAAATGCTAGATAAGATATTTAAATTCTAAATCTAAGTGTGAGTCAACCTTTATAAAATAAATGTTAAATTTCTTAATTTAATCTTCTACAAAAGTGGCACATTAATTGCAATCTTACTTGTACTTCTTCTTGGCTTGACTCCTTCCAGGTATCTGGAAGGAAAATAGTTTAGAACTTGAATAGAAGAGAAACACGCCAATGTGACAATACAATAGTGACACGACAAAGTGACAATAGTTTAGAGCTTGTTTTACAAAATTAACATTCCAACACTTCTAAAATTTTTTAAACAGTTAAATATTTTCCTTTAATGTAGGTACATTTACTCATTTCAATCTTTACAACAATTTAAAAATCTCCCCTGCTCTCCAGCATAGTGTACTGTATATGAGAGTGTAATTCATGTAGTACGTTCCCAACACTACCAAATAAACCATATTCTAGTTTGCTTACCAATGAATCTTTGCTTACCAATGAACTTAATTATTTGAGAGCAGTTGCGATTGACCGTGGATTTTCTCCCGTGATTATTGATAAAGCCGTCAAAAAATTTTCAGATTCCCATCAAAGAAGACATTCTACTGTTAGAAATAATATCAATGACCTTGTCGTGCTTCCATTTTATCCTTCTGTTAGCTATAAAATTGCACGGATTCTCCAGAAATTCAATTTTCAAGTCGGTTTCTCCCCTATTAATAAAATTCACCCTTCGATTCTAAAAGATTGCGTTTTCTGTCTTGAATTCTTGGGGAATTTATAGTTATATCATGTCAGTGTGGTTTAAGATATATTGGCCAAACAAAAAGAGCGTTGAAGTTTCGTATCAAGGAACATGAATCTTATGTCAAAAAAGGGGAAATTAACAAGTCTTCAATAGCGTATCATAGCTGGACTTTTAACCATAATTTTTGATTTTGGGTCTGCAAAATCATCCAAAAGGCTTCTTCCATAGGCGAATTGGATTTTCTTGAGGCTTTTCACATTCACAAAGATTTAGAAAGTTTAGTTAATGATTTGAAGTCCAATCCAGTCCTTCCTAATGCCTTTAAAATTCTACTGTCTTTAATTCAATTATTTTTGCCGATAGATGGCGTTACCTCCTCGCACTTGGTACTACCAGAGGGGTATAAAAATCCGTTCAGTGGTTGCTTTCCATTATTTGAAGTTCAGATTTTGAGCGTAATGTGCATTTGCCCCTCGCTCCCTATTTTAACTTCGCTAATATTTCTTTATGCTTGATCAGACAGCCTGGCTCAGTAAAAGTAGGCGGCCAGTGCAACTCTGATTAAAAATCTAGTTATAACCACGTGCAGTGCTGATAAGCACCACGTGTTTCTGTGATTCCTATTTTCTTCTTTCTCCTGATGAGGAGGGACCTTTAGCTGCCCTCGAAATCGATTGAGTGTTTCATTATACCTACGCTAAATATTAGGTTGTTTTTTACGATTTTGATCATATTCTAGTTGTTAGAAATTAGACATACTAGACCTTATAAAAACTCCCTACAATATATTTCCAAGTATTAAAATGTATTTTCATTCGTATAATTCATTAATAATTACTTCTGGAAACTAAATTATTGAACGAATCGAAAGTGATAAAATGAAACAGTTATAAGAAGAATTAGGTAGCGAAATCATAACTCAATGTGCGTTCAATCAGGAGGAAGTAAGCAAATTACATACAGAAACACGATGAAGAAAACTGAGATTGCTTAGCTTGACGATGGAGAAATCGTGAAGGAAGAGTTAAATAGGTCTGTGAAATTTACTGATTTAAACAAAAAATGAGTATAATATTGGAGAAATAATGAAGTTTCATTTTTCAGTGTACGGGAAAAAATTGAGTTGAAATTATAACGTATTTATCCTCAATGCCAAAGTACTTCATGCATTGGGCTATATCAATTATTTCAAAGTAGAAAAATATTACATATAATTAAATTATGAATATTTACTGATAGAGTTTTCTCAAGTATAGATTCTTTCAATAAACTATCAAAATCAATTTCAGCTTAAACCGATAACCCCCGTTTGCTTCACCTTGTGCAAAAGCTCCGATTTATGTAGGTTTATTTCCCTCAATAATGGAGAAGAGTTTCGAAATTGCAAAAAATGTTTCATCAAATCGTATTAAATGTAGCTACTGCTTGTGAAACAACTGATGGATTTGTTTCACTTGTATCGATATAAAGTCTAACATTTTAGGTACACAATGAAAGATAATGCATTATATGTATCATAATACAAAATGAATTATCATATAGATATTACAATGTATTCTTTCTAATAATAACAGATGCCGGAAAATTATCTTCTGATGATTCAGTTATGTACCAAATGGCCCACCCACGCTGAACACGGGTAGTTCGGTTCGGGGTTTGGAGTGCCAGAGAACGGGCTGGCGTTTTTCGTGGTTTTCCCCTTGTGTGACGAGGATACCAGACAGGTTCCTTTAAAAAGACCTCCACAGGGCATCCCTCCCTTTCCGTATAGTGCCTAAGGGTGTAGCCCGTAATGAGAAAAAAAATGTACGAAATGCCAAAATCAGAATGAAATCTTAACAATAAGGGTCATTAATTGGCATATATTTTTCTAAAAGAAAACTTAATGCAAAACTGATTGAATTACTTCTTAAAACTAAAGTGAGCAGCGATGTTTGAGTCCTTTTGGACATTAAATTCAGTGTGATTTCATAGACGGTTTCGGTCTGCAGAATGGCTCGATCACAGTAGCATAAGATAAAAATCTTCAGCCATGAAAGAAAAGTGCATCGTAACTATGAGCTATTTGCTAATGCTGAAATGCACTCTGTTTGATCAAGTTTCGAACTTAAATCAATGTTTATATAGGTTTTACGTAACTGAAATACA